GCTGATCCGTGTCGATCAAAATAAACAATTCTATTGGCTTTAGGTCACGTGATGGACACGGCTTTAGACGACCCCTATACGTGGCAAGTGTTTTGACGATCTTTGATTAGGAATTCTGTGAGTATTTAGTCGCTACTCATCAACCGTATTACAGTTTATAGAAGTACAAAACTTACAAAATAGGAAAAAAATTGGGACCAAACTATTAAAGGGGATAACTTATCGTTATAAATCACTAAATCACTCATTGTTACGTATCGGTATGTATTCTTGCGATTAACGAAAAAATGATATTCTGGAGTCGGGGCTAAATTGTCTAAGCGGTACGTAACAGTATTTTATATTTGACTATGCGTACGTATGCTTATTCTAGGCTGTAAATGCTCCAAGTAACTGCTGCGGATAAATCGAAAGTATTTCTTATATTTATATACCATTCTTTGAAAAAACAAAAAAAAAGTATTCGGTTGCGACGTGAGCTCGTTTATAGCTAGTTTAACTTAATACCTGTTCTGAGGAGCAAAAAATCGCGTTTGTTGAAAAATCAACTCGCGATATTTCTTTTTAAAGATGCAGCTCTTTGATTTTAGCGAGCCCTTAATTGTGTACACTTTGTTGGGGGGTTTCATTGTTTTTTACGGCTTGGTATCGTTAGTTATAAAAGAGCGTCTATACATAAGCGAATCCTGTATGCATGTTGATATATTCCTTTCTGTTTATTTGTGACTAAATTTATTTAAATTTATTTTTTTTTATAACACGAGTGATATACTATTCTTTGTTTTATTTTCCTAATGGTTTAAAGTGATTGCGACAATATTGGGCTTAATACTAGGACCGGCTTGTTTGCGTTTGATCGATCCTACGGTACAAACATCAGAGATAATGTCTGATCCTTTAAATACTTATCATTGTTTTTAAGTAATATGTTTTAACTAATGAAAATAAAAGGCATGGGGACACAAAAACGCGACAACGGAGGAATTAACACGCATCGTACTTGCAATTCAGGTGATTCAACCTCAAAATTATTATTTTTGAAACTTAATAATATTAAACTTTCCTTATCTGAATAAACATAAATATAGATCATGACGGCTGCCATAAATTTACCAAGGTATGGTATCGATTCTATTCTCTGTAATTAATATAATTTAACAATTACATATAATCTATGCAGAGCATACATTACACGTCAATTTCGTTCTATGTTCATTATGCTCCTGCCGGTCATGTCTTGGATGTGGATTTCTAGTGCGGTGATAATATATTTTTTCATCCCAAATGTTACATTTGTAAGTTCTTGAAAAAGCTTATCGAAGCCTTTGTAGATGATATAACTTTATCATTTTCTATAGGTTGAAACTTTGTTAATCGCCTCATGCATTACTCCAACTGATCCGGTAAGGATCTCCGTAAGAAAAAGAATTTCATCATTCATAATATGCTAACTTGCAATTAGTATAGATCCTTGCAAACTCTGTTGTTCAAGGCTCTTTTGCTGAAAAATATATTCCATCCAATGTAAGACACCTTTTATCCGCAGAAAGTGGGGTAAACGATGGTAAGAATTGATAAATATTACTATGGTTTTTCTGCTTATTGTAACTTGATTTCTATGTAGGGATGGGCTTTCCTTTTCTCTTCTTTGCACTTTTTTTACTTGAATCTCCGAGAATTACTATTACTGCTATTTGTCAATGGTTCTCTTTCGTCTGGGGCTATCACATCTTGCTTTCGATTGCTATCGGTATCGTGATAGGATGGGCAGCAAGGAAGTTATTGGGACTGGCTGAGAGTCGGTAACTACATTCGTTCCACTATCACTAAATTTTATCACTTGGAATTATATATAGATATTAATTATTTTTTATTAAGAGATTGGATTGATAAGGAATCTTTTCTAGTATTCGCATTTGCTCTAGCGGTAATTTCATTCTTTTGATTTTATTTATTTATTTATCTTTTGTTTGTTAATAATAAATGACAAATTCTAATCTTTAGATTTTTGTTGTTGGTGGTGTAAGCATAATCGGATCAGATGCATTGTTAGCATGCTTTATGGCGGGAACGTCGTTCTCTTGGGAGTAAGCAATTCATATTTATCCACCTAATTTGTTGTCTTTTTATAAAGTCTGAACCTACAAGTGATAATGTTTAAATCATTCACAGCGATTGGTTTCGTGAGGAAACACAAGATGCTCATTTACAAGATGTCATTGATTTGTTACTTAACTTAACCATATTTATGTATATCGGAGCAATACTTCCATGGTCTTCTTTTAATTCAGATCATATGTCTCTCAAAAATCTTATCATCATAAGCGTTCTTGTTCTGATTTTTAGACGCTTACCGATCGTAATCTTGTTTAAAGGATTCATTCCGGCTTTTCACACTTTCAAAGAAGCTGCATTTGCTGGTTATTTTGGTCCAATAGGAATTGGCGCTATATTCTTAGCTATGACTGTTGAAAAAGAAATCAGTAGAAGACTAAATGATGAATTAAAAGATATTGACGAAGGATCCATGTTACGTATTCAAGAAATAACTTTTCCAATTGTTGCATTCATTGTCCTCAGCTCTGTGATCGTACATGGAATCACTGTTCCAATACTTAATATTGGTTCAAGAATTGACATCGAACGATTTCCAAGTATAGCTAGTATCAGCAGTCAAGTAGCAAGATTACCGGTAATAGATTTTGTCGAAAGTTTAACTTTAGAAAGAGATAATAAGGGTCGCGTAAGGAAGAAGGAAAAGATGAGGGCTGAATTTGCACCTAAAAACAAAGATGAATTCTATCAGGATGTTCACAAGGCAAATATGGAAGATGAGCAAAATGAGGGAAATGGTGTTTATACACATAATCATATAGAAACTGATTTGTTAATTGAAAATGAGCAAAATGACCAAGATAATGTTAATTCTGTTGATTACCATTGGTTACACTCTAGTGAATGTTCAAGCCATCCACAATATGTACACAGACCTTAAGTTAACAAGCGCCTAAATTTTGTAATGAAATATAGTAAGTTAGATAAGTTAGATAATAAAGAGGCAGATATTTTCTCTTTAGATTTGAGTCATAAAAACGAATTTGAAGCTCTTCAATCGTTTTTCCTCCAGTTGAATGTCATTATGTTTCAGGCGAGTCCGAAATGTTTCGTGCGGACGAATTATTTCGGATCTTAAAAAACGCAAAGTATTATGTGTTTTTCAAATTTATTATTTCGTCCTGACGAAATTATTTATTTAATGGCGTGAAATACTTCGGACTTTGGAATGTAGTTTGTCCGAAGCATCCGAAACACTAATTATAGATGAGTAGAATACGGGACACAAAAAACGGTGATTATATAGAGGTATGACTAATATGGTGTAAATATAATCACAGTTATATTAAGTATAAAAGCTTGTGATTATATTGAAGTTGATTAATTATTGTGGCAGATTAAAATGAAATTCAGATTAAAATGAAATAATAATATAAAATCTCGAAAAATAAATTTTTTTGGTGTGTATTTTTTAGGGTTAAGGGTTAGAATTAGGAGTTAGGATTAGAGTAAATATATTAAACAAGTATATGTGGGTTTTAGAAGGTTGAATAGATAATGTAGATTTCATTTTAAATTATGTCTGCGACAATTATTAGTTAACAATTATAAGGTTTTTATTATAGTAATAGTAAATTTTCTGAAGAAACTTTTTGTTAGTGCAATGAAAGGAGTTTCTTATGCGTGTTTGAGAAATTGCTGTCAGTGATTTTACCAAATTTGGATATTGATTCTGAAACGTTTTACAGAAATCTTCAAATAATAATTGGTTTATAATTACATTTTTTATATTGCTTTGCAATTAGTAATTGTCTGGAGCGAAGTGGAGAACTCATTTCTATGCGCTTTAGTAACTGGAATTACAACTTTGATGCATTTATAATAAAAATGTCAAAAAAGTAATTTTGGAAAAACATTCGAAGTTGATTTAAAATTTGCAAAAAAAAAATCATATAGTTTTAGATGTTTTACAAAGCTATAAGATACAATTTAAAAAAAATTCGATAAATCACACAAAAAGAAATATTATATATTTTAGAATAAGAGCGAATCTATTTGTCGCCGGCGGTGACAGTACCGGAGTGTGATCGACCAATTAGATCACATGATCATGTGTAACGTGAAAAATGTAAAAACTTTGATTTTTTTAAAAAATCGCCGTTATCTCGAAATTTCATCTATGAAACCACTTTTTGCATTCTAACAAAAAAAATTCCTTGCAAAATTTTACTATATGCTATGCTTTACCCAAACCTTAACTATGGCTCTAACCCAACTCTAATGATAGTAAGTTTTGACGCATTGTTTTTATTTTGATTATAACGTATTGGTTGATCACACTCCGGTACTGTCACCGCCGGTGACAAATACATTTTTTCTTAGAATAAATAAAATTTAGTTTTTTAGAATTTTTTTTTTAGTTGTCATCTTGTTACAAAGCAGATTTTTAAAGTCGATTTTATTAAATATTAGTTATTTTTAGTTATTTTATTTTATTTTTTTTTTTTAAACTTGGTTAGGAAAGCTGGTAACACTTTATTAGATACGATTGTAACTGTGTACTTAATATTACAACTTAGAACTAGACTATGTTAACTCAACTCAAAGTCTTGACATTTATCTAGTTGTTCTATTGGGTGTTTAAATATATCTTAGTTGCATCACTAGTATGCTATAGTCAAAATCAACACTAGTAGTCAAGATACTTATCACTTGGGAAGGCATTATTATTAAACCACCCATCAGCAGAGAGGATCATATCTGCATCTGATATTACTCCTGCATTCTAAATTACTATATCTAGCTAGACTATATTCTCTGCATTACCACCTTTTTACTTCTATATAACTCTCAAATAGATAATATTTGAGTAATAGTTCTTGATGATTTTTCAGTTTGGTGTGCCATGTTATTTTTTTCCCTAAAGTTATTTCAATATTGGTCCAGAATCTTTAGTCAAAAATTACTACTGTTATAGAACAATTTTATTTTATTAGTTTATTATTTTATCTTAGTAATATTTTATTATTTCGATATTTGTATTTTATTAGTTATTAGTTAATATTATATTTATCTTAGAGAAAGAATTTAAAAGAGATATGTATAACAATTAGCTTTAATGCTTAATATTTAGCAATTAGTGATAATGCTTAGTGATTAGTAATTACACTTAGCAAATAGCGATTAATGATTAACACTTAATGCTTAACGATTAGTGATTACAATTAGCAATTAACACTAAGTAAACTATATGTAGCTGCAACAATTAGTGATTAGCTCTAAAGATATAAAAAGGCTATAAATTTTCTCAAGTTAATATTAAATCTGTAAGAACAGAAAACTTGTTTATTGTTCACTTTAGATACAGACTCCTCTCTTCTTTAAATTCTCTCTCTTGTAATATTATAAGATTCTTTAGAAATAGAAATCTAAGGATAGCCTATCTTATTTATTGTTAATAAATATATATTTTATTTATAAACTATTGTTTACCCAAACTACAGTATCACAGACAGAAGGATATAGTTTCTCCAAGAAGCAAAATTATACTTACTTGTTGGACACTGCTATAAACCTATAAAGGATCTCTGTAGTTGTGTCATTGTTATAATACTGCTGTTAAGAAGGCCACAGTACTATAACACTACCTAGTTAGATTTTTTTTTTCCTTTGGCAATCCTGTTTACTTTATTATGGGAACAGACTTTCATTCCTACATTGGCATACGAAGAAATCTAAAATCTATAAGTGTTCCAACCAAAGAGTAAACTCACCCCGGCGTATCTCGCAGATGCCGAAACATCCACTTGCAGTCAGAGTGAACCATTAAACCACTGTGTCTTGCCCAGATGTGATCTGCCTAGCAACACTTGGCCTCCTCCAGAGATCTGGAACTCACTCTGGACTTATTTTCTCCAGATTTACCGGCTAGCTGTTGCTCGCCCCATTAAGATTCTCGCTCTACAATAGAATGCCACCAAACTGATAACACTTTCTCGTAGAGAAGGAAAAAAGAAAAAAAAAGGGGAATAATAGGGAAC